GCTTCTACAAGTAAGAGCACCCGCTGATGCGAGGAAGCGAGTGGGTGTTCATCTTTGAAGTACGCCCCTGGTACAGGGTGCGAGAGATGGACGCCATGACGTAGGTCACGTGCTGGTCGTTTCCCCACGGTTCGGACTCTTTCGGGTTGACACATTTCATTAAACAAATGCAAGTTTGGTAAGCAAAGAAATGGAACTAAAATGCCTTCGTCAAGCCTCGTTGAATGAATGGGATTCAATGGGCCGCACTTAACATAATCCACTGACTATACCACACATCACAGAGCAACCCCCACTTTTCCACACAATTTGGAGCAAATCGACTTTTCTTGCCACCAAATCCTACCATCTGTTGACAGGACCAATCGATGAATTTTGATTTTAATATTCGAACAAAATTAAAAAAAAATGTTTCCAGGTCATGCCCCACGTGCATCAACACACAGAGTGTGTAGCCAAGCAGTCGATCAACACACAGAGTGTGTAGCCAAGCAGTCGATCAACACACAGAGTGTGTAGCCAAGCAGTCGATCAACACACATAGTGTGTAGCCAAGCAGTCGTTCAACACACAGAGTGTGTAGCCAAGCAGTCGATCAACACACAGAGTGTGTAGCCAAGCAGTCGATCAACACACAGAGAGTGTAGCCAAGCAGTCGATCAACACACATAGTGTGTTGCCAAGCAGTCGATCAACAGACAGAGTGTGTAGCCAAGCAGTCGATCAACACACATAGTGTGTTGCCAAGCAGTCGATCAACAGACAGAGTGTGTAGCCAAGCAGTCGATCAACAGACAGAGTGTGTAGCCAAGCAGTCGATCAACACACATAGTGTGTAGCCAAGCAGTCGTTCAACACACAGAGAGTGTAGCCAAGCAGTCGATCAACACACATAGTGTGTTGCCAAGCAGTCGATCAACAGACAGAGTGTGTAGCCAAGCAGTCGATCATCTCATGATCTCAAATGTGCGGCCATTACTCACGCTTCACAATCGATCGGGCCATGTGACGTCATACTCTAGTGCAGGATTCTGTTGGGTCACCGGTCTCCAGGGATGGGAGGAAATAAACAATACATTGTATCAAGAGAGACAACTGGTTACCATAGGATACATTGTATCATGACATACAACTGGTACTCATAGGATACATTGTATAATGACAGACAACTGGTACTTATAGGATACATTGTATCATGACATACAACTGGTACTCATAGGATACATTGTATCATGACATACAACTGGTACTCATAGGATACATTGTATCATGACAGACAACTGGTACTCATAGGATACACTGTATCATGACAGACAACTGGTTATCATAGGTTACATTGTATCATGACAGACAACTGGTACTCACAGGATACATTGTATCGTGACATACAACTGGTTATCATAGGATACATTGTATCATGACAGACAACTGATACTCATAGGATACATTGTATCATGACAGACAACTAGTTATCATAAGATACATTATATCACGACAGACACCTGGTACTCATAAGATACATTGTCTCATGACAAACAACTGGTACTCATAGGATACATTGTATCATGACAGACAACTTATTATCATAGGATACATTGTATCATGAAAGAAAACTGGTACTCAAAGGATACATTGTATCATGACAGACAACTGGTACTCATAGGATACATGTATCATGACATACAACTTGTTATCACAGGATACATTGTATCATGAAAGAAAACTGGTACTCAAAGTATACATTGTATCATGACAGACAACTGGTACTCATATGATACATTGTATCATGACAGACAACTGGTTATCATAGGATACATTGTATCATGACAGACAACTGGTACTCATGGGATACATTGTATCATGACAGACAACTGGTACTCAAAGGATACATTGTATCATGACAGATAACTGGTACGCATTTGATACATGGTATGGCGATAACATTAAAAGAAATATTTGTAGGTACAGTACACATACAAACATTGATCCCTTCAGCATGTTTGAACCTTAACTGATCTCTACCGGGTATATCGAACACTGAATGATCTCTACCGGGTATATTTAACACGGAATGATCTCTACTGGGTATATCAAACTCTGAATGATCTCTACTGGGTACATCTAACTCTGAATGATCTCTATCGGGTATATCTCACTCTGAATGATCTCTACTGGGTATATCTAACTCTGAATGATCTCTACTGGGTATATCTAACTCTGAATCATCTCTACTGGGTATATCTAACTCTGAATGATCTCTACTGGGTATATCTAACTCTGAATGATCTCTACTGGGTATATCTAACTGTGAATGATCTCTACCGGGTATATCTAACTCTGAATGATCTCTACTGGGTATTACTAACTCTGAATGATCTATACTGGGTATATCTAACTCTGAATGATCTCTACTGGGTATATCTAACTCTGAATGATCTCTACTGGGTATATCTAACTCTGAATGATCTCTACCGGGTATATCTAACTCTGAATGATCTCTACTGGGTATATCTAACTCTGAATCATCTCTACTGGGTATATCTAACTCTGAATGATCTCTACTGGGTATTAGATTGAGACTTACTAGAGATGACCCATATTCTAACTCTGAATGATCTCTACTGGGTATATCTAACTCTGAATGATCTCTACTGGGTATATCTAACTCTGAATGATCTCTACTGGGTATATCTAACTCTGAATGATCTCTACCGGGTATATCTCACACTGAATGATCTCTACTGGGTATATCTAACTCTGAATGATCTCTACCGGGTATATCTCACTCTGAATGATCTCTACCGGGTATATCTAACTCTGAATGATCTCTACTGGGTATATCTAACTCTGAATGATCTCTACCGGGTATATCTAACTCTGAATGATCTCTACCGGGTATATCTAACTCTGAATGATCTCTACTGGGTATATCTAACTCTGAATGATCTCTACTGGGTATATCTAACTCTGAATGATCTCTACCGGGTATATCTAACTCTGAATGATCTCTACTGGGTATATCTAACTCTGAATGATCTCTACTGGGTATATCTAACTCTGAATGATCTCTACTGGGTATATCTAACTCTGAATGATCTCTACTGGGTATATCTAACACTGAATGATCTCTACCGGGTATATCTCACTCTGAATGATCTCTACCGGGTATAGCTAACTCTGAATGATCTCTACTGGGTATATCTAACTCTGAATGATCTCTACTGGGTATATCTAACTCTGAATGATCTCTACCGGGTATATCTAACACTGAATGATCTCTACCGGGTATATCTCACTCTGAATGATCTCTACCGGGTATATCTAACTCTGAATGATCTCTACCGGGTATATCTAACTCTGAATGATCTCTACCGGGTATATCTAACTCTGAATGATCTCTACCGGGTATATCTAACTCTGAATGATCTCTACCGGGTATATCTAACTCTGAATGATCTCTAC